GGAGGTCCTGAGGTTTTCCGTGAGCCGTCAGGGCATGCCCGCCCCAGAACCCTGCTTTCAAAAGCCTTGGTGGCCCTCATATTGCGTTTGCTTTCTGATTCCAATTTTTTTTATTAGGCAGACTTTTGAAGGTACAGAAAGTGGGAAGACTTTTACAAGGATACACCCACATATCTACCATCTAGGGTGTCCTCCCCACCCCCAGCAAATGTATGCACACACTTAGAATAATTATAAAGGCAGTGTTTATTACAAATACATTTCATTTTCAAAATTAAACTATCAGCTGTTCAAGTGTGTATATGTTTTTTGGGGGGGCACACCCTGTATATTCTGCAGTTAACATTTTGCCATATTTGCTATATCACACGAATCCATCTGTTCTATCAAACCACCTTATTTTTTTTAATGCAGACCTTAGTACGATTCGCCCCATGTGTTAGAGGTCAATATTTATTTACAGTTCTTTTTTAAGGCAAAGTTCCCATGCAATCAAATGTACAAATCTTAAATTGGGATGAATTTCACAAATATATACACTCTTGTAACCCAAACCACTGTCAGCTATCAAAATAGAATTAGAAAATGTCCATACAGAAAATTCCTTCATGTCCCTGCCCGGCCTCCACCTCCCAGTGAACTATTGTTCTGTTTTTTTCACCACCCATTATAATATGACCCTCTGGGTTATTCCTTTTTCCTTTGTGTTGGCTTTAAGACAAGTGAGCCCTGAACTCTGGCAGTCGATTCGGTACATACTTCAAAAAATATGTATGCTCCTTTTTCACAAGTGTGTGTGTAGTTGATGAAATTTGGACTTTGAGTTGATCAAAGCTTACCACGTGCTTGATGGCAATCTTTTCACCTGCATCTTCTGGATGATGAACAGGGAATAATAAAAAGCTACCATTTTTTGCACACTGCGCAACACTGTGCCAGGCACTTACACTGTGTGTAATTTGTATACCCAGTGATATAATAATTACTGTATAAAATAGAATAACATAAATCCAAATTGAGGGACATTCTGCAGCCCCATGAGAATAAGGTGTTTTCCTTTCTCATTTTATAAGTCAGAAAGCTTAGGCCCAGAGAAGCTGAAGAACTTCCATGGCTTCAAATCTAGAAAATTGCTAAATTAGAATTTTGAGCCCTCGATTCTCACAAGCCCAAGGCCCATGTTGTGTCCAGGGCTTACAGGCTGTGGAATATAGGCGTGGGATGGAAAAAGACTGGTTTCATTAGATGTTTCCTGATAGAAAACAGGAAGGAGGTGAATGAAGTGAATTGTCCTTGGAGGAAGAAAATAAAGTATTTGGGAAGAAATATGAGTAAGGATAACTTTCTATGCTTGCCAATATATGGTAGTTTAGTATCAGGAGGTTTGTTTGTTTTTTGCGGGGTTGAGGGGTGGTGACTGGATGGTGAGAGAGGAAGTGTGGTTTCAGGTAGGCGGAGGAGTGAGGCAATGTTGCTCTACTGGATGTTCAGCCTTTCTCAACCAGGGTTCCTACTGAAAATGATTCTGAGTGACTATTTTCTCAAACCTCCCAAGGATGGCACCATCCTAGAGCCAGTGCCATTCTAGATGCATAGGAGTTATTTCCTTACATATAAGGGATACCTTAGGGCATTAGAACTTGTGTTCGGAACCTAGTAACTCAGTTCCAGTAGTTAGCCATTGTATTGCTGTTGTGAAAGGCTTATTTTTTTCCTGTAGGGCTCATTATCAGGGTGTGTGTGCTTTTGGCTACAAGTAACAGAAGATTTGATTTAAAATGGCTTAAATGTTTATTGTTTCGCATAACAAGAAGTCTGTAGGTAGCTAGTCCAAGATTAGTTTACCGGCACTACCTGGTCAGCTTTTGATAGCAATTCGGCCAAAGTGCACCCAAAAAAGGAGTGCTATCACTAGGTTCATTTTCATTTTGCGAGGCTGATATTCCCTCAGTGTGAAATTCGTGTGGCTTTGATGAGTGTATTTTAGAATTAAGATTCCCTAAAATGTTTTTTTACAGCTTCCAGGTAGGATTTTACTGACTCAGCCTTCCTGTGCATAGGTCATTAAAAGTCAGCACTGTGTTTTGTTTACCAACGTATCTCAGTGTCTGGTACAATGTAAAGCAGGTAGTAAATATTAAGGGTGAATGAATGGTCTTGTCTGCAACAAATTAGCCCAGAACTACAACTGGGTTTTAACTTAGCTAGTGCCTTTTCAACTTCACTATCTTTCTTTTGTTTCTAAATAAAAGGGTTAAGTCAATTTCATCTTTTAAATGTCATTTATGCACATGTAACAGAAATACTCCTTATTATGAATGACAGTGAATGCCCACCTACTAGGAAGAAAAATAGATAAATGCATCTTTACCTGCTGGTGCTATTGAGAAATGTTAATTGGAAGTAGATGAAGAGAAGTAAAATGTATCATGCTTGGGTAAAGAGGCCATTTGAGATGTGATTTTTATGATCCATAAAAACAACTTATTCTTGCAAAGTAAAGTGGTGTAATAGTCATGACTATAATAGAATTTTCAAAGTTTTTAATTTTTACTTAAATTATTTTTAGGGAGAGAGGAAAGGAGAGCTAGAGAGAGAAACATCGATCAGTTGCCTTCTGTCTGCACCCTGACTAGGGATTGAACCCACAACCTAGGTATGTGCCCTGACCAGGAATTCAATCTGTGACCCTTGAGTGCATAGGATGATGTTCCAACCAACTGAGCCTCACTGGCCAGGGCAGATTTTCAAAATTTTAACAGTCATGAATATAATAGGATTTTTCAAATTTTGAATTTGCTGGTAAATCCCTGTTGTGCTATGTAAAGTTGTTTTGTGTGTTAAGAAATAAATGGCCCTAGTCAGTTTGGCTCAGTTGGCCCTTGGACTGAAGGGTCTGGGGTTCTCTTCTGGTCAAGGGCAGGTACCTGGGTTGCAGGCTTGATCCCTGGCCCCAGTCGGGATGCAGGCAGGAGGCAACCAGTCAGTGTGTCTCTTTCACATTGATGTTTCTCCTCCTTCCCCCTCCCCTCTCCCTCTCCCC